CAAGAAATATAAAACCTGTGGAAAATTAGTCCTAGGTGGTGGAAATGCAGCAGATATTATATAATCTGTGTAAACACTGAACTGTGGTTACAAAGTAGCAGCCTTCTCTACATTCTTTTCTACATGCCCAACCATCCATCTGAGGAGTGACAAAAGCAGCAAATGCAATATTTCTGCTGAATAAGCATATTTGGAAGGCACCTGAAGCTGGAATTGCAAATTGCAGGCAAAGAGAGAGACACATTTCAAACTCGAGAAGACTTCAGGTCCTCTTAAAAGTCCCCCTCCAGAAACAGGTTTGCAAGGGTAAGCTCATTTCTAAGAAGTCATTGCAGAATTTCTGAATCTAACTGTCTATCAGTGGTTTACTACATATTTTAATTCTGGTTGGAAGTAGTGTACGTGAAAGAGGATAAAAAAAATCAGGCCTTTTGGTTAGAGCCTCTCAAAAGCATACCAAAGCCTTCAAATCCTCTGAAAATGTCCCCTAATCCATAGGATGCAACTTTTTTTCTGTGCCAGCACAACTTCTCCTCTTCCTTTATCTTGAGGAAAGAGAGAGCATGCACCCTTGTCCCCTAGAGCATCATGCATCTTTAGGGGAGATGATGTACTCTCTTTAATCAGCAGACTTTCACACAGGTTGTATGTCTCTTCCCACCATGCCTCTCCAGCCATTAAACTTGTTTGGGTAGAACCTATGGGGCATTCTACTTGCTAATTGGGAAGGTATCAACAGGTAAAGTGCCAGATTTGACAGATTATCTTCTGTGCTTCCATGACACTATGTTTAAATCTCCTATGCTCAGAAGCCCCAGAGTGCACTAGCCTACAGTGCTGTGTGATACTTCTAAATGGATTTGACACCAAAAATTAAGTATTGGTGATTAGTTCTAGGATCAAACTTTTTGAAACATCTAAAGGTTTGGGTTTGATTTGCTTCAAAGAATAGGAAATTGTTCAGTCTGATTCTTATCTGCTCCTAACTAATCTAGCCAGCTCTAATTATTTTTAATTTGTTTCCATGTATGCTTTTGTATTAAAAAATATAAAATTAACAAGAAAATATGCATTTGCATGCTGAGGTCATTAAGTTATATAAAAATGTTCTGAGAGCTTCTAGTATCAAAAATGTTATATAAATGGTATTACCTTGTTATTTTCTGGATTGTTTTAAAAAAATCAAGTAAACACTGTTGATTATTTCCAGCCCTTTAAAATAGAACATTTAAACCATTCTACATGGCTGGAGACAGACAAGAATGGGCAGACTGTGACAACTAAGTGAAAAAAACCAGGAGGAATTCCAAACAGCCAGAAGTTTCCAATCCTTACTATGTCCTCAGTGCGGAAACTACAGAAGTTATCTCTGACAATCCAGCTGTTTGACTGGAACAGAAAGATGTGCATCACACACCTGTGGATGACTAGTAAATCCAACCCACAGGAAAAATCAAGCATGTCCACAAAGAGATATCCAACCATTCAAGAATACAGACAATACTGGTTGGAGATTCTATATCAAGAAGAAAGGGAAAACATTCTGCAAAAGACAGGCAGACAACAGAACAATGCGCTGTCTTCCTGGAGCCAAGACACAAGACATGACTAAGATTGGACAGCCTTCTGAAGTGTGTGGGGAGGTAAGAATCTACTGGTGATGGTGAATATGGATACTAATGATGCTGCTTCACAGAATACCTCACAGATTACAGATGACTTTAAGGGAACTTGGAATGGTGCTGAAGAAGAACGTCCAAGTGATCTTCTTGGAGATAATTCCTGTCCTGGGAGTGAAGAAAGAAAGAAGATTCTGGGAGTGAACCACTGGTGAGGTAACCAGTGTCAGGTGGAGGATTTTGGTTTTGTGGAACATTAGTCCACCTTCTGTGGGAAGAGAAAATTTTGAATGGCTTCCATCTCAGTAGCAGGGCAACCAATCTTCATGGAGACAGGCTTGCTAGATTAGTTATGAAGACATAAAACTAACAACAAAAGGGGAGGGTGAAAAGAGTGGGCAAAAGAGGAGGGGGAATAGCACTCTATGTCAAAAATTGCATTACCTGTTTCCAAGTTCCTGACAACTTGGAAGCAAATGACGCTGAATGCTTATGGATCAATCTTTTAACTGATACATTACAAGATGGAGTGTTAGTTGGTGTCTGCTACATACCACTAAATCACACTAGAGAATAAGATGACCTATCTCTAAAGCATCTGTTTATTATGGGGGTAGGAAAAAAAGCTGCACTACCATAGACTTCAATCTGAGTGACATATGCTGTAAATCTCATGCTGCCAGTATGAATTCCAGAAATTTATAAATGACAATTTTCTAACTCAAAAAGTGTTGTACCCAACATGGAGGACTTTTACATTAGATCTCATCTTGACAGATAAAGAGGAATTGATCACAAAACTAAAAATTAGTGGCAGTTTATGTACCAGTGGTTGTGACTTGATTACACTTGTAATGTGCAAACAGAATAAAGTCCAAACCATAATATATATACTTGGTGCTTTAAAATGGTCAGTTCATAAAACTGAAAACAATTATAAGCAGATCAGTTGAGAGAAGGAATTTAAACCAAAAAATGTGAATGGTAATTGGGAACTGTCTCAGAACATTTTACTAGGGGCCCAAACAGGCATGATCCCATAACTGAGAAAGAAGGCCACACTGATTAAAAAACCCAACAAATCTGGCTTACAGGGGAAGTGAAAGCAGCTAATAATTTTTTTTAAATATAACAAATGGAAGAAAGAAGAAGTAGATAGTGATTAATATAAATCAGAAGCTAGGAATAGTAGAAAGTTGACAATGGAAGCAAAACGACCCAAAGAGAAACCTATGGCCAGCAGAGTTAAGAACCATAGGAATGCTGCTGGTCCATTATTAAATGAAATGGTAGAACTGTCAATAGTAATGCAGAAAAGGCAGAACTGTTCAATAAATATTTCTGTTCTGTATTTGGGAAAAAGTCAGATGATATATTCATATCATATATTGTGGATAAAATACTTTCCTTTTCAACAGTCACTGCAGAGGGTGATACACAGCACTCACTGAAGCTAGACATCTTTAAATCAGCAGGTCTGAATAACTTGAATCTGAGAGTTTTAAAAGAACTGGCCACAAAATTCTGTGGACCATCAGCGTTGCTTTTCAATAAGTCTTGGAACACTGGGAAAGTTCCAGAGGACTGGAAGAAAACTAATGTGTGCCAATATTTAAAAAGGATAACTGGAAAAAGCTGGATAATTATAGACCCATCAGCCTGACATAGGTCCCAGGCAAAATATGGGAATGGCTGTTACATGACTCAATTAATAAAGAATTCAAAGAAGATAATGTAATTAATGCCAATCAACATGGGTTTATGGAAAACAGACCTTGTCAAACTGTCTTTTTTTTTATAAGGTTACAAATTTTGCTGATAAAGGTAATACTGTTGATGTAATACACTTAGAGTTTTGTAAGTCATTTGACTTGGTATCATGACAGTTTGATAAAGAAAATAGAATGATACAAAAATCAGTGTGACACATTAAATGGATTAAATAGTGGTTAACTATTAAGTCTCAAAATGTAACTGTAAATAGCAAATCATCATCGAGTGTTTCTGGTGGGTCCCACAGGGATCAGTTCTTGGCCCTATCCTATAACTTTTTTTTTATCAATTATCTGGAAGAAAACATTACATCATTACTGATAAAGTGTGGAGATGACAAAGATTGGGGGAGTGGTAAATAGTGAAGATGACATCACTGTTAAAGAGCAATCTGGATGCTGGGCACAAGCAAACAATACACATTTTAATGCAGGCAAATGTAAAGTCACACAGCTAGGAACAAAGAATGGCAGCCATATTTATGGGAAGGGGGAGTCTACACTGGGAAGCAGTGACTCTGAAAAGGATTTCAGGGTCCTGGTGGATAATCAGCTGAACATGAGCTGTGGCCAAAAAGACTAATGTGATTCTTAGATGCATAAATAGGGGAATATCAAGTAGAAGCGGAGAGGTTATATTACCTCTGTATTTGGCACTGGTGCAACTGTTACTGGAATACTGTGTCCATAGTTTTGGCATCCACAATTCAAGAAGGATGTTGATAAATTGGACACACATAGATTTTAGATAGTCATGATGGTGCCTTCTGACCTTAGTTTGACCTCTTGCACACTGCAGGCCACACAACTACGCCCAACCACTCCTGTAATAGACCCTTAACTTCTGGCTAAGTAACTGAAGACCTCACATCATGATTTAAAGACTTCAAGTTACAGAGAGTCTACCACTTACACTAATTTAAAACTGCAAGTGACCCATGGCCCATACTGCAGAGGAAGATGATGGTGAAAAAGACAGTTCAGAGAAAAGCCACAAGAATGATTAAAGCACTGGAAAACATACCTCTCAGTGATAGTCTTAAGGAGCTCAATCTGTCTAATTTAACAAAGAGAAAATTAATGGGTGAGATGGTCACAGACTGTAAGGATCTATATGGGAATATAAATTTGATAACAGAGGGCTCTTCAGTCCAACAGTCAAAAATATAACAAGATCCAATTTCTGGGAAGCTGAAGCTAGCCAAATGCAGACTAGAAATAAGGTACAAATTTTTAACAGTGAAGGTAAGTAACTATTGGAACAAATTTACCCAGGGTTGTAATGGATTATCCACCAATGGAAATTTTAAAATCAAGATTGCATGTTTTTATAAAAGATACACTCTAGTTCAAACAGAAATTTAGAGAAATCTTATGGCCTGGGTTACACAGGAGGTCAGATGAGATGATTACAACGATCCCTTTTGATTTTATAATCTACAAAACTCTTAGCTCCTAGTGACTAGTGTCATCCATTGCCATTTGCCACTGCCAAATTCTAAGGAACCTTATTTCCCTACACTAGATTAAAAAATGTACTGTAAGTCTTGCAAATGAAGAGGTATATAGCTGTACATAGTTTAAAAGCAGGAACAATAGGATTACTTACCACATGAAGAATTTTATTTTCTGTTTCGTATACTGTGCAATCCTATAGTAAAGAAAAAAGAAAGAAACAATGTGTGAGATTTAAAATCTTAGCCCTACACACATGAATGAAATTATTATTAAAAAGAAAAAAAATAACACTTTATACTATTAGAATATGTCTCTTGCATTCACACACACATGTATATAGCGAAGTCATCTCTCCAGGGTTTATATGAATGTCTAAAGGTTATTCTGTTTTCTCTGGGAAACTTCACTGCAGTAACGTCTCATTAACCTTAGGGGTCTATTCTATTTATATGACTATAGTTCTTGTTCTTTGTAATGGGAACTATGCACCTGTTTCGGGGGAGAACAGATCATTAATATAAGCAGAGATATGTATGTAGAAATGCACTATCATGTAAATGTTAGGAATACATGGCCATTTAGACCTAGATAGACATAGCCTAGTCCTAAAATTCTCAATCAGGCAAAAAAGGTTGTTGACTTTAATATTATTTTTTTCTTGAGTGAAGACTATAGTGTCAGGTCCACAGCCAGGGAGTACCCCCTTTTTTTTACTACTTATGTACTGGATGGCATGACTGAATGATGAGAAGACAAGGTGTTTCAGGGAATAGACATAATTTTAATGTCTTTTTTTTTTTAAGTCTTGCTTGACCTTCACCAGATTACAGGTACCATATCTGACAATCAGTGGTCTTCTTCTTTGAGCTCAAATGCATTATATATCACAATGCAATATATCACAGCAAGTTGCTATATTTTTGGACATTTACATGTGAAAAGGCAGATATCCCATCTTGAGTTATATTTACAGATTTCTGTGAAATAAAGCAGATTATTATTGTTATTCATTATTTATATTAACATAGTTCCTAGGAGCCCTCGTTAGGGACTAGGACCACATCTTACTAGGCACTGTTCAAACACCGAACAAAAAGATGACCCCTACCCCCAAGATCTTATAACCTAATTATGTCAAAGAAACTCATACCACTGATACTATAGTAACAATATAAAAAAACACATTACTTCTAAGTTCAGTTTTTCAAAAAAGCCGTAATATTTTGCCTATAATTTTGGGTACACAAGGGTTTCTCAACCTTTTTTCTTAGCAAGAACTACATGTTAATAGAGAGATTGTCTCACAGATATCTCTTCACAGACCACAGTAAGTATCTAATCTTGAGTTTAGCATACAGTGAGGCAAATTATGGTGTAAAGACATGTGACACTGTTGAGATAACAGTAATAAGTACATAAAAATAGATTACTTTTAGGGACTCTTTTTAATGGCCTCTCATTTTGCATTTAAAACACAATCATTTGCTCCTGGAAAAGATAAAATTTGTGTGCAAACGTATTTGTTCTTCCAAATCTAGCTCTCAGTTTTCTATGTGGTTTGTGCATATTAAAACTGTTTGTGTGAACAACTCTGTATTTTGCAAAATAAATATTTGTGAAGGCAAAGTTGTGGGCACACATTTAGATGACACACTTACTCTACTTAGAAAATATTGCTCTTACAAGCCAAAAAGTAGCACAACCATACTATCTTATGATAGGTTACATAAATTTTATTCTGAAAAAAAAAAATCAGAAAGAAAACCCTTAAAGCACTCAACCATAAACATAGCACAATGGAATTACATGCACCTGGATTTGTGATGCTCTTCATTTAGAAGAGAGTTGCATTTCTCTGTCATTTCCCTGACAGCAGAGATGTTATGGTTTACAAATCCAGCAGGGTTTGCTCACACTGGAATTGAGGTTGCCACTGAAAATAGTGACAACAGGGATTAGTTTTCATATTTCTTGTTGACAGATTTTTTTTTCTAATAGAATCCATGAATTCTCCACCGTCTTATTTTAAGGTAAGTGAAATGCGGACCCTAATTAAACTACTTGGCATTGACTCTTAAATGGTAAGTGGACAGGAAAGAAGGGGACTGTCGGCTTTATTCAGTGCAATGATGTTATAATTGCAACTGACCACAAAGACATAGGTACATTTTATTTATTTATTTATTGGATGGATGGAAGTTCCTTTCAGGAAGAGAATAGATTATCTTAGATATTAAAAGAAAATAAAGGTCCAAAATGTTCCTGGCTCTTGTGCAGTTATACAGGAAGGGCTTGTGGAGCCTCTTCCCTGTGTGTCCTCTGCATGGATCAGAAACAATTGTAGTCCCATCACTTGTGGCCCACAGAAAGGAGCAGGCTTCTCCATCCTAAGGGCTAGTGCAGCATGTGCACGCATCAGGGATCAGGCCTCCTGAACGGCAATCTCTCCCCAAGCTCCCTGTGACAAAGTGGCTCCGTGTTACTCTAACAAAGGCCTGAATAACATAATCTGGATCAAAATCTGTATTGGCAGTAGATTTCTAAATACGTAAGAAATGCATTCACACTTCTTAGCTCATTTATCATAGCAAGGATAATGAAATTTGTCAGTCTTGGTCAAAGGCTACTAGTCCCTCAGCTCGCACTTTGATTGAATTCCATTACAAGTGGTTGGTCTGTTAAGTGTTTTTCACTAGACCAAGCACATACTTTGATTTCCAAGCATAGAGCTTAGGGAGAACATAAACCCTAATTATAAAAAATTTAAATATTGAATATTTGCAGGTCAGATCAAATTATCCATCACCACAACAATGAAACAGCCCTGTCTTCATCTCTCTTTTCATGACAATATGCTTCAGAGCAACCAGATTTCTGCCCAACAGAGTAACATACAATATTAATACCAGGCAGTTACGTGCTCAGCTTGTGAAGCTGAAGACATTGGTTTTAGATAGTAATGTTGAACAGCATGGCATAAAGGTATATGGACACAGGCATGCTGCACAAGCCATAAAATACCATTTTATATCCTACTGATAGAACAAGCAAAACATTTGGGGTCAGATAAGACTATACAAGTTTCAGAACCAGTTTTTTCCCCTCTGGTGTAATTAGACCAGTTTTGAAAATGTCACTTCTTTAAGGTTCCCCAAAAAGAGAGAGAAGCAATTGTGGAATGAAGATGGCATAGATAACATTTAATTATGATTTCCTGGCCAGAAATTAGATGAGATTCTTTTAGAGTATCTTAAGTGTTTAATAAAATCTGAGAAAGAGAAAGAAATAATTTTGCTACTACACAGCTGAGGTACAATAGGGATGCTGGGGAAGCATGAAGGGGCCTGGGATGCCTCAGCATAGCTGGCAACACATCTGAATTTTTCATTCTCCAGCAGAAAAAGTCAGTCCAACAGTTACATAATCAGCTCTGCATATAATTTCTTGAAAGTAGTCAGATATATTTCCTTGAATGTAAACTTTATTCTTTTACACTGACACCCACTTCAAGGTCCCTTTACACTAGGAGGGTGGTGTAAAGGACCTTCAGTGTAAACAAGTGGTAGGCCCAAACTGCTGTATCCCATTAGAAAGGGAGATTACCACTTCCTTATTACTAACATTGATGGTTCACTAAACGTGGGCCCTTAAATCTGTCACTGGTCAAGATGTGGCTATTGTTCATCCTGTACTTCAGATCAGTAACATGATTTGGGAAAATAATATTTTCTTTCTTTAAATGGCAGCTGCTTGAAACTTCTGGTGGTTTAGAATGTTGGAAGTAGGTTTGATAGAAATAAATTTGTGAGCAGACTGTAGATTCAGTAGGTAAGAGATGGTTACTCACCTTGTGCAATAAGGTTCTTTCAGATGTGAGTCCATGTGGGTGCTTCACTTTAGGTGACTGTACACCCTGCGCCTCTAGTCGGATTAGGGTGACCAGACAGCAAGTGTGAAAAATCAGGACGGGGTGGGGGGGAGGGGTAATAGGATCCTATATAAGAAAAAGACCCAAAAATCAGGACTGTCCCTATAAAATCGGGACATCTGGTCACCCTAAGTTGGATAATTTTGACAGCAGTACCTGGCTGGGCCGCACATGCGCTCTCCTCATCTCACGCCTGCAGCAGCAATTAACTAGTGCAGTGCTGTGCGCCCCCACCCCCCAGTTCCTTCTCTACCGCAGAGGAATTAATTAGAATTCCGAAGTAGAGGGGAGGAGAGTGGAGCACCCACAAGGACTCACATCTCAAAGAACCTCCGTTATTGCACAAGGTGAGTAACCCTCTCTTCTTCTTCAAGTGGAGTCTCTGTGAGTGGTCCATTTTAGGTGACTGTAGAGCAGTGCCGATCAGGGGAAAGGAGGGGCTTTGGAGTTAGGTCTGAATGGATGATAAGACTGTGTGTTCCAGCCAAGTGTCAGAGGCTGAGACCTGATCAATGATGTAGTGTTGAATGAATGTGGAAGGAGATGTCCAAGTAGCTGTGTTGCATATGTCAGTAATAGGCACATTGTGCAGGAAGGCAACCGACGTAGCTACAGCTCTTGTGGAGTGTGTTCTAACCCATGAGGGGGGTTGCAGTTCATATTGTCAGTAACAGAGCTGAATGCAATATGAAATCCATCTGGAAAGTCTCTGCTTAGAGATGGGTTTGCCTTTGGAGCTGTCCGTGGTGGAGAGGAACAATTTAGGAGTTTTCCTGAACGATTTAGTCCATTCAAGATAAAAGGCTAGTACCCTTCTAATGCCCAGGGTGTGGAAAATAGCTTCTTGCCTGTCCTTGTGAGGGTTAGGGGAGAATGTGGGAAGATGGATAGGCTGATTGATGTGGAAGGAAGAATGGACTTTAGGCAAAAATTTGGGGTCAGGTCTGAGAGTGACCTTGTTTTTGAGAAAACCATATAGGGTGGTCCAGTCATAAGAGCACCAATTTCTCCCATGCGTCTCGCAAATGTGATGGCAACTAGGAAGGCCATCTTCATGGAAAGATGTAGAAGAGAACATGTGGCCAGAGGTTTGAATGGGGGCGGTTGTGAGAGATTAAAGCACTCAAGTCAGGTCCCACTGGGGTGTTGGGGTTCTGGGTAGAGGTTGCACACTCCCTGGAGGAATCTTTGGTAATTGGGTGAGCAAAGACTGAAACGCCATCCACTTTGTCATGGAATGTTGTAATGGCTGCCAGATGCACCCA